AATTTCTGAAGAAGGGTCCAGACCTGAAACGTCAGCCTTCCTGCTCCTCTGATGCTGCTTGGCCTGCTGTGTTCATCCAGCTCTACACCTTGTTATCTCCTTTTTCTTTTGTTGTATTTTAACTATAGTGTTTGAATAAATTGTGTTTTGCTTTAACGTCAAGTAGTTTGACCAATCAAATTGCATTTGGAACACAGCACCTCACATTTACCTTGAAATTAAGAAAAACTTAGGGTCTAGGCTACCCTCTTATTATATTTTGAGGGGCTATGGTCTGGTCCATAACAAGGTGGATAGCCAAGGTCTTTTTCCCAGGGTAGGAGAGTCCAGAACTAGAGGATATACGTTTAAGGTAAACGGGAAAGATTTAAAAGGGACCTAAGAGGCAATATTTTCATGCAGAGGGTGGTGCATGTATGGAATGAGCTGCCAGAGTAAGTGGTGGAGACTGGTACAATCACAACATTTAAAAGGCATCTGGATGGGTACATGAATAGGAAGGGTTTAGGGGGATATGAGACAAATGCTGGCAAATGGGACTAGATTAATTTAGGATATCTGGTCAGCGTGGACAAGTTGGGCCGAAGGATCTGTTTCTGTGCTGTACATCTCTATGATTCTATGGCATTTTGTTTTGACTGGTTTTTCAATGCCTCCTATGTTTTTATTTTCTCCAGAGCTTCGACTTGCGGAAAAAATTCACCTTAAATTCTTGGAAACACCAGGACAATCCTGGAGGGTTGGTAATTTGGTATCTTCAATACAGAAGAGACCCTTCGCCCCATCGAGTTGGTGCTGTACCTGGAGGCAGTATCTCTTCCTAGGAACTAGCTCACAATGCTTCCAGCATCATCTTTTTTTTTTACATTTCTTTTTTATCCATCCCAGTCTCCAAAAATCAATACCTTGGATGGTAAGAAAGAGAAACCGGACTATTTTCTAACAAAGAGTTTCAGCCCAAAATGTTGACTTACCTGCTCCTTAGATGCTGTCTGACCTGCTGTGCTTTTCCAGCCTCACATCTATAGACGCTGGCTTCCAGTATCTGCAGTCCTCCCTGTCTCCTATTTCCCAACTGCTACCGAGATATTCAAAACAGTAATAAAACCTTACACACTGGTATGGGACATAATCAAAAAGGCTAATAGAATTTCATATTATTTCAAAGGAGCCAGCGCAGAACGGGATGGAAGTAATCATAAAGTTGTGCAGAGACTTGGTTGGATTCCATCCAGAGTAACAACACTTAGTCCGGACACTGCACCTCATTAAGAATATATTAGTTTGAGAGGGGTGCGCAGTGAAGATTAGCCAGAATGACACCAGGACTTAAGAGGTTAAATTTCAAGAACAAGTTGCATAAACCTTGGTTTAAATTAACTTGAATTACCATACTGTGGAATTTTTAAAAATTTATTTGTGGGGTGTGGACATTGCTGGCTGAGCCAGAATTTATTGCCCATCGCTAGTTGTCCCTTTGTTCATCGTTTCAGGAGATTTTGTACATAACAGACAATGCATGAATAAGCTGGGGATGCTGGACATTGCATATGAACAGCTCTCTCTAACTCTCCGCACAGACCAAA